CATCTTTTTAGGTATAGCTCTCAACGTCAATTCTCATCCTGATTTCAACCCTCACACTGTCGTTTCATTCTCACACGCTCAACCCTTCCTCCATCCAGACCCACTTCTGCATGTTCCATTCTCAATTGCCATGGCCTTCATACAGTTATTCCGCTTCCATCCTTCAAGACCAGTATGCACAGTCTTCCATCATTTTTCTCCTTGACGATTGAATAGAAATTCCAATTTCCCGGTTTCACTTCAGCAGAATCATCACCGAAATTCATCAGCGGATTTCTATCAAGAATATCAATTGTCTGAACAACTAGGGTTTTGCAGTTCACGATTATTTCAGGTACAATATTTCAATACAATATGAGAAAAGGATTTCACGAGTCTTTGTTGCTTACTATTTAGTTTTCCTTTATATAAAACTTCAATGTATTTTAATGGTGCCATTGAATTAGTTAGGTGAAAAGGATGTACTCTGCATATGGTACCACTGTAGTAAGGGTCCAAGGGCTAGACAAAGTGAGCGTTCGAACTGCATTTGCCTCTAGCGTTGTCTCTACTATCCCAGCAGAGGATAGATTTCTGTGTGCTGCTGGTATGACAATGGTGCTTGGCCGAGTTACTCCAGTCTCAAGTACATGTTGATCTTTCTTAATTACATCTGCTTTAATTTGCATGTTTGGTTGCCAGGTTCATGTTTTAGGTCCAAATCAGAGACTTGCATTGCCTTTATTTCCAACTATAACCTCAAATATTCAGTAAATATAACTTTTTGGAATCAAAACGATCTGCCAGGTCCATAGTCTATTAGTATTTTAGCGGACTGCAACACCCGGATTTACAGTAGCATTTGTAAGGGGAAAAAGGGACTACATAAATTGTTTTTATTGCATTTTTTAACTGAACTTGCAAGCTAGATTTCTTGAATTTGACGCTACACATTGCAAGTTGATCTCTAGCTTACATGCTAAGATGGTGCCCGTTGGTGGATTCTCATGGCAAGCATACACAAAATGATTCCATCTTCCAATGGCAATGTCTCATCGGCAAGAGATGGTTTGTGGGAACAAATGAATATAACTGGAGATTCATTTGACTATCTATGGTACATTATAAAGTCATGAATGTAATGGTCCTTTAAAAGATTTGCTTCTTATGCATTTATTTACTTATTTATGGGAACCAACTTGGATTTCTCTTTTCTTTTAAATAGAATTAAAGAAAAGAACCTGGATTTTTTTAAATATAAGCTCTTTATGTCCTCATTTATATTTTTTAACATTCAGACTTTATGACACTACTCGATCAGTATTGAAGTATTTTCTTGCCTGTTAAATAAATGACTATTTAGAATATACAATTTCCTTTGTGCCTATTTTATCTGCTCAGTTCAATTTTCTTAGCTATTATTATAGTCATTTTGCACTATTACATCTTTCTCATTGCAGGGAAGTGGATGAAAAAAAGTAGTACGCTTCTCCATGAGAACTAAATTAAAATGACACCCTACTCTCCCAAGATTCGTTGTTAATTAAGCATACTTCTCAGTTAGTATGTTAAATCTACCTTAGTTTTGAGTCTTGGCATCCAAATTAATACTTTAATTTCAAAAATTGTAAACAGGCAGAGTACATAGAGAAAATCTGATCTACTTGGCCATTATATGTGCTCAATAGTAAACAGATATAAAAATAATAATCATATTGAGACTCTGTACTTCTGGTGTGTAGGTATGTTTCATTTACTAACTACTAACTCTAACTCTACTGTGTGATGGACGGCCTCAATAGTCAATACCAAGAAGATCCAATTCAAAATTTCCAGAGCTTATACTTTTCTTGCTATATTTCTCAATTCCAATATCTTATATGAACTTAAGAGTGAATTGGTTGGTGTGTATGTATCCATTCGATTTGAATTTCAAATTCCTTGATAAAAAATGAGTTAACTTTTATTGCTTTGGTGCATTGATTTCTTACGTGGCATGATATTCTTGAATTTGTCAAATTGTTTATGTCTTCTTGGATTTTGGTTTAATTATGTATTTGTTTGGAGTTCGGTGTATAGGTGTTTGGTTCATGAGTCTGTTGATTACCAAAGGTAGAGAGAAAAATGTTTAGGCAAGTATCTTTTGTTCTCTTTTTCAATCATCCTTTCTTCATGTGTGTCATTTGTGAATTTGTCGCAATGGCATTCATCACAGGATTCTTGGTTATGCCACATCCTCATGAACATATATTACTGTACATTATGGATTTTGATAATTTTTACTTCGGATTTATTTAATTTTGAGTCGAAATTTTTGCTTCTTTATTTCTCACAAATCCGTGAGTTATGATACTGATGGAGTATATGGCCCAGGAACCCCCGGCCCACAGACTCCCACTACTCCAACACAGACCCAAGAAGCACAAGAGGCCCAAAGCACAGCGGCCCAAGCTCAAAGGAGCCCACGCTGCGCCTGGGGTAGCCTTCGGCAATATGGCCGAAGACTCCAAAACCCATAGGGCAGCCAGATTTGAGCATACGAAGCTACCGAGAGAAAATGACATAAATCAAGAGCCTTCGGCACTTTTGTGCCCTCGGCATCAGGGAAGCCTTCGGCTACACAGAGCCCTCGGTCGCAGGGAGAGCCTTCGGCTAACAGCTCAATCATCGAAGATCCCCTTTGGAGACAAGCAACCACCGCATTTAATGCGGCGTCACGTCCACCACCGCATTTAATGCGGTGCACATGCGAGTGCCGGTGCCACCTCGATTGAGGTGACCCCTCGGCCGTTAGATTGCTGACACGTGTACTCTCATCGCATTTATTGCTGCTATAAATAGCAGCCCCTATTCCTCTTGTAAAGGACCAGAACATCTCGAGTTCAGTAATACAATCGACTCTCTCTCTTACTTGTTTGCTCTGACTTCTCTCTAGGTTGTTCTCATAATAACCCCTCGGATAAGCTACCCCCCGGGTACACTATCCATCATGGATTCGAAGCCAAGGCCCCTACGGAGGTAACTCTACCAATGTAATACCCCGGCCCCGTGGGCCCCGAGGTAGTTACTCTGGACCAATAGTACTGTCCTCACAAACCACCACTAGCCTTTACCGCGCACTTTGTCCTCACTCATGCGCGCCCTGAGAACTTCCCAGGGGGTCACCCATCCCAAGACTACTCCCGAGCAAGCACACTTAACTTTTGGAGTTCTTAGGTAATGAGCTCCCTTAAAAGGAGATGCACCTCTGTTGGTATGAGTAGTACTATTAATCCATTTATATTAAATCTCAAGTGTTACAATCACCCCCACTTAGGATCGCAACGTCCTCGTTGCGCCCTTGAAGTAATCTCAAATCTCAATCAAATCCCAGAATCTTCCCCCGCTATGTGCCCGCCCGATATCCAATGGGTCATCACACTGTCGCGGGGTTGCTCTGATACCACCTGTAACACCCCGGCCCCGTGGGCCCCGAGGTAGTTACTCAGGACCAATAGTACTGTCCTCACAAACCACCACTAGCCTTTACCGCGCACTTTGTCCTCACTCATGCGCGCCCTGAGAACTTCCCAGGGGGTCACCCATCCCAAGACTACTCCCGAGCAAGCACGCTTAACTTTTGGAGTTCTTAGGTAATGAGCTCCCTTAAAAGGAGATGCACCTCTGTTGGTATGAGTAGTACTATTAATCCATTTATATTAAATCTCAAGTGTTACAACCAACCCGAAGGGTGGATCAGTATGACCCCAAGGTCAATGACGCCAACATGGCCCTCGACCTTCATCTCATCTCAGAACGCCGAGAGCAAGCCTTCATCAGGGCCGAAAATTACCGACGACAAGTCAAGGGCTACATCGACGCCAAGGTCCGTTCCCGAGAGTTTCAAGTGGGGGACTACGTCCTCTGGAGGAGGGAGGCCAGTCAGCCCACCGAAGGCGGAAAGATGGCCCCAAAGTTTGAGGGCCCATACATCATCGCAGCCATCATCAAACCGGGAACCTACAAACTAAAACGTTCCAATGGGACCGAGGTCCCTAGGCATTGGAACGTACACCACTTAGTCAAATTCTATCAATGACATATGAGCGGCCAAGCCCTCATCACCTATGTATTTCATCAACGGCCCAAGGCCCCCTATTCCTCAGAAGAATAAAAACGTGTTCAAACACAAAGTACCAAGTACGGAAGGCATGTGAGCGGCCAAGCCCTCTTCATTCACCTATATGGGTGATCAACGGTCCAAGGCCCCCTCCTCTCATGAGGATGAATAAAATATAACACCATCAATCAAGGTACCAAGTACCAAGTGTGCGGGATACACCCGCCACGCTTAAAAACACCAAGTGTTTTTACATAAGCCGTTCCCCTCGAGGACGCCCCCATGCATACATTGTTTAATGCATACTCATACATACACACACACACAAAACCGGGGGGTACAATAACCCTCGGCCCCGGCAGGTACCAAGTGCCCCGGGCTATTTGTGTTCCACACACAAATAAAACTCTTCCCTGAAATGCTTTCCGCGCCATCCCCCAAGGGGAGGCAGGCAACAGACCATGTCCCGGGTCCAGGATTCGACTTTCAAAAACGAAACGCTCCCCGCGTTATCCCCTAAGGGGAAGCAGGCAACAGACCATGTCTCGGGCTGAGGGGACGACTTTCAAAACCGAGGCGCTTTCCGCGCCATCCCCCAAGGGGAGGCAGGCAACAGATGATGTCTCGGGCCGAGGAAACGACCCTCAAACCCTTCGGGATCTCGGAAGGTCAATCCCGAGAAGGGAGCCAACGGTTTGTTCCGTTGCCTCCCATATAAGCCAAACCTTTCCTAGAAACCAAGTTTCTTGATGTGTAGGAGGGAAGGAACTCCCTGGGTACTATTCTCCCCGGAGGCTTTTCAACACAAACTTCCTAAGGACATGTCTATCTGACTGTTTAGCCGAAGGCTACACTACATGAAATTCAAGAGGCAGAGGCCCTCGGTGGTTAGTGGTTTACTCATCACACTATTTACCGTAGGGTTTCGTTATACGAAGGAAGTCCTTGGAAGATTTCCCGGAGGCTCTCCAAAGCAAATGTGGGGAACTCTCTCAGTCCAAGGGCATTCACCTATATGACCAAAGGCTTCAGAACACAACAAACTCACCAAAATTTGGCTAAGTCCAAACTTCGACTAATACCTCATGTTGAAGGCCATTCCTCCGAAGGCACCCAAAGCAAATGCGGGGATACTCTAAGTCCAAATCAACAAAACTAAGTCCGAAGCCCGAAGGCATCCCCGTATCAAATGGCTATATACATCAAGGACAAATTCCTGTGAAGGCTATCATCCTACAAACTACAAAGGCAAAATTCTCCTAAATTTCCTATTGGAGACCCCTCGGCTTACAGGCGAATTCATGGGGCTCACCCAACCGAGGGCTTGCCATATGGATTGTTGAACAAACCCAGGAATTTCCTAAGTCCATAGCAAGGAAGTTCCCTACAACGAGAGGCTCACTAAACCCCCTGCATCCGATGGCTTACCACGACATTTGTTGAAACATTGTGGGAATTTGGCTAAGTCCACAATTTGAGACCCCTCGGGAAGCCCATGACTTCAATGTTGCTGGCTGGCTTCTAGCCGAAGGCAAGCCTCCTACATGCTAAATGGAAGTTGAGCCACTTAAGGGCTCAACCATGACCGAGGGCTAGTCACTAGAACTATTGAAGAACAATCTCTAAATCTTTCTAAGTCCACAAAGGGAACCCTTCGGCTAAGCGAAAGTTACCCGAGGACTTATTCCCTAAGACCACAAATACTTAGAAAATTTTCTAAGTCCACAAACCTTTGGCCTTCGAACAAACACATGAAAGAAAACGAAGCACACATTCACACACACAGGCGAAGGGACGAAAGCGTACAAGGAGATTAAAAACAGATAAGGATCAAAGCCATCAATAACAAAAAGCCCGAAGGCACGTCATTCATTCAGGAAGAATTCAACCATAAAAGGTGTTTGTTTACATTGACGGAAGAGGCCGGAGACCTACAATCTATTACAAGGAATTATACTTAGGAAAAGTCTTAAGCTTTAGCATCTCCGACGACATCCTCTTTCGGCTTCGAAGTGGCTTCCTCCCCAGCTTTTTCTTCATCATCGTTGCCCTCTTGCATCAGCTCCGAGTCCTCAAGGTCTGGACGCTCAACGTCCGGAGGGAGGGGAACTCTAACATCCGGCTGCAGGGGAGGAAGGCCATATGTCGCCGGGTCAAACTCTTTTAGCTCAATCTTCAGGTGCCTAGCCAGCCGTCAGTAGATCAGCTTCTGGGTGAAGAATTCACCACCGTCATAATAATCCTTACCCTTCCAGGCAAGCCATTCAGCACCAGGGCCGCCAACCCAATCATCGACAGTAGCCTCCACCACCGAAGACAACCATTGCTTATGATCCCCAGCTTTCCACCCTCTGGCGACGAAGGCGGAAATCGCGTCTTTCTCAGCTTGGAGGACCGCCTCCTTTCTGGCATCCTCGGCCTTCTCAGCGGCAATTTTAGCAGCCTCGGCAGCAAATCTCTCAGCCTCGGCCTTCCCTCAGCCTTGGCCACCACCTTGTTGTTCTCAAGGATTTTCTGGAACGCCTCCTTTTCCAGCCGGAGGGTCTTCTCAGCTTCATCGAGCTTTCTCCGAAGGGAGGCATTCTCATTATCAAACTTCTTAAGGGCCTCGTCCGAATGGGCCTTCGCAATCCTCAACTGCTCCGCCCTTCGGGCTTGCTCGGAAGCAGCCAAGGTAGCCTGCAAACAAACAAAGATCAAAGGAATCTTAACATATACACATATGACCAAAGGACCCCCTAAGATCAAAGGCTCTATCATGGTGCTTATAAAATTTAAAGGGAAATGGAGTACAAGGGAGGCTCACCATACTGCTATAGCTGGCGACCTGGTAATCGAGGATTGCATCCTCCATCTGAGCCAGCACAGTCTTTTCGGTCGAAGACATCACACACCTTAAAAACCCGACGGGGTGCAACGTGTCTCGCATACGCCGGTCCCCCGCCTTGATGGGGAACTGAACGATCTCGACGATGTTGGGCTCCTCACTAACATGGGGCCGGGGTGAGGGAGGGGGAGCGACAACCGGAGACCTCGAAGGAGAGCGCTCCTCAACAACAATGACGGGGGCATCCTTCTTCTCAGCGGCCCCTTTTTTCTTCCTCTTCTGCGGAGGCATGACACCCTTCCCGTCATTCTTTCGCTTAAGCTCCTCCACCTTGGAGCCTTCAGCATCAGCACCGCCGACATCGATCTTCGAGGGCCCTTCGCCCTCCGGAACCTGGGCAACCTCATCTTTCTTGAAAAACTCATCGACGGGTTTCTAGGTCCCCGCCTCCTTCTTCTTCTTTGGCTCCTTAGCGAGTTTCTTCTTCAACGCAGCGTATGACCTCACGTCCATAACTTGGCCTGAAAAAGAAGAATACAAGGGTTATATTGTGACAACGAAGAAGAAAGACAAAACATTTCTAAGTACAGAATAAGAGAGCCTTCGGTGAGCACCTCCGGCACTTTGGTACCCCCGATCAATCATGGGGTACTTCTCGTCCTTTTCCCCCATTAGTCGATATCGCCGGAAGCCTAACAAGTACAGCTCCTCCGGGAGGGTGGCTGCCTTGATGGCAATAACTTTATCGGAACCCTCTGTCTTAGCAGTAAGCTTCTTGCCAACCCTGTCGAGGGTTGCGTTGCCCACCTTCGGGTGTCTCTGGAAATGATCGCGTAGGGTCCCCGGGAACGGATTCTCGGCCATCCGAATGTAGCAAAACTTCTTCTTCCAATCTTTGTGGGATGAGGGGGTCTCAGAGAAAAGCCTCCATTCCGGCACCTGCTGCAAATTGGCATATCCCCCAGCATGGGAATGTCCCCCCGGCACAGGTTGAAAGAAAGGAAGAACTGATCCAACGTAGGATCCACCCCCGGCTTCGGCAGAGAGACAGGAAGCCCGCAACATAAGAATGGCTGTTCGGCGTCAGCTGGCAGGGGGCCAACTTCACAAACCTTAGATACTCTAAAATGAAGGGGTGGCGTGGGAATCTGAGACCCAATTCAACCGAGAGCATGTGCACCGAGAAACACCCCTCGGGGGGACTAGACAACAGATCTTTAGGTCATGGTTCAATGACTTGCGCCAGAGGGCCGACAAGGAACTGTGTCACTTGGTAGTCAAGGCCCGAAGCCTTCGTCTTCACAGCGAGGGCAGCAATGTTCAAGTATGAATGCCCCTCAAGAATTCCCACCGGTTGCCCCGCGTCAACCGCAACCTGCTTCTTCTTTGGGGCGGCCTTCAGGTTCCTCTTCTTCTTGCCAACGGCAACCCTAAGGGGTTCCAGATTAAGTGGTCGAGAGCTCTCGGCTTCATCATCGTTATTAAGAGGCAACGCAACAACGGTCACCTTCAGCCGTTCCCTCTATTCCTCCTCTTCGGCGGTTAGAAGTGCGAGGGCCATCTCCTCATCCTCCGCCACTTGTTCGAAGTCCTCGGTTTCGGCCTCAGCACGAAGGTTGCTCTGCAACTCCCTCGCTACCTCCGAGTCATGGTTAGACGAAGCTTGTTCACTTGATGACGCCACATCGGAGATACTTTCGACATCGTTGCCAGCCAAAGGCTCCCTCTAGATATCTTGAGAATCACTTTGCGACGACATTTTTTTAGTACCAGAAGTCGAAGGATTCAAAAAACGGAGGGTTTCCTGAGTGATCTAACACAAGATCTAGGACCAAAGAAGCAAAAAATACTAAGGGGGCGAGAAACGGATGAGGAACTGACCTTAGAAACTCGTTTTGATCGAAGGAAATGCTTTCTCTCTCTAGAAAATTCGACAGAGCTTCGCTATGACTCAAGTGCGCACAGAGGAAATGAGCTCCGCCATGACGTATTTATAGGCTCCCTAACCACGGTTAAGCCTCGAAACTGGGCCTCCGGTTAAAAGCCCATCATTATGGGCCGCCTCCTCAGCCAATGGGTGACACCCGCCCGCCTTCAGCCAACGAGAGCCTGCCACGTGGACCCCACCTCCAACGGTAACATCCCAACAGCTATATTCCAAAGTGGCCTCAGCAGGTACCCTTCGAGACTCAGGCATACAGATTCCTTCAGACCCCCTTGCCTTCGAGGAGGAGCCATATAAGCCTTCGGGTTGTCAACATTATCAACCCCTCATATATATGGCCCTCGGGTCGATACATCACAATAAAACTCCTTCAGCCCGAACTAGCCTTCGGTCTAAAGGAGTGGGGGACTGGGACACACCCCTTGGGAACAACACAAAACAAATATTGACATGTGCAAAACTAAAATATACAAGTGCCAAGGCGGCCTCCGGGTAACTTCAGGTACGAAACCCCTCGAGGTACAGGTTATCGATATACCCTTCGAAAATTGAGCAAATTCTCAAAATTTTGCAGAAGTACCAAGGATGATGAAACAGCCTTCGCTCTAACAGGAGATGAGCACTTGTGAATGCTTCCACCCAGGAAGCCCTTAGCCCCCGACATGTGGGGGACTGAGGGAATGCCCTCGGCAAACAGCTGAGGATAAAGAATCAGTTAAAGGTGGTCAGCGAAACGACGAAGCCTTCGGGAGAATCACCACAATTATTCCTTTTCCCTTAAGTACCTTTCGACAAAAGGAGTGGGGGACTCCTGATGGAGTATATGGCCCAGGAACCCCCGGCCCACAGACTCCCACTACTCCAACACAGGTCCAAGAAGCACAAGAGGCCCAAAGCACAGCGGCCCAAGCTCAAAGGAGCCCACGCTGCACCTGGGGTAGCCTTCGGCAATATGGCCGAAGACTTCAAAACCCACATGACAGCCAGATTTGAGCATACGAAGCTACTGAGAGAAAATGACATAAATCAAGAGCCTTCGGCACTTTCGTTCCCTCGACATCAGGGAAGCCTTTAGCTGAACCAAGCCTTCGGCTACACAGAGCCCTCGGCCGCAGGGAGAGCCTTCGGCTAACAGCTCAATCATCAAAGATTCCCTTTGGAGACAAGCAACCACCGCATTTAATGCGGCGTCACGTCCAACTACCGCATTTAATGCAGTGCACATGCGAGTGTCGGTGCCACCCCGATTGAGGTGACCCCTCGGCCGTTAGATTGTTGACACGTGTACTCTCATCGCATTTATTGCTGCTATAAATAGCAGCCCCTATTCCTCTTGTAAAAGACGAGAACATCTCGAGTTCATTAATACAATCGACTCTCTCTCTCTTACTTGTTTGCTCTGACTTCTCTCTAGGTTGTTCTCATAATAACCACTCGAATAAGCTACCCCCCGGGTACACTATCCATCAGATACTATATGAAGTGTAAAAGCATAACTACAAATTTATGTTACATAAAATATATTGGGCATTATCCTGGAGGACTTGCTCATCATCCAAGCATCAACAGAATAAGGCAGTGTTTTCCTTTGATCGAGAGGTTAGTTCTCTGCATTTTTTTCCAGTAAAGCACTTCATCTTGGATATAGTAGTTAGGTCATGAAGAAATTTGATTTGTGGCTCGGTTGAAATAGAAATACGGTGAGCGTGGTAGTCAGACAGTCAGTAACAAAATGGTATAGATTTGATCTTAGCCAACCTGAGCTTGGATTGTTCAGTATTGAAATAATTTTAATTTTTTTAATTTATAATTTTACGTTTTCCCCTGAAAGCTTGGATTGTTCAGTATTGTTTTGATCTTAGCCAACCTGAGCTATGAATTAATCACCTGCAATTGCCAACCTTACACTTTAGGAGGTTCAGAATTGTATTTCCCAACTTTATCCCAAGTAGCCAACTTTAATTGCCAACCTTACAATTAGCCAACTTTAGGAATTTTTCCCAATTAATCACCCGGAATTGCAAATCTGAGCTAGGAATTACTGGACTGTATCCAATTAATTATTGTAAAGAATCTTCACATGCTTGATAAATTATACTGTACGTAACTATGGCTAACCTTGATGTACAGAAAAATGTTTTTTAATATGTTATGAGCTGTGGCTAATATGATATATGCTATCTTCACATACTTGTAAGAACAGATATACTAGTATTTATTCTTTCCTATACAAACCAATAGATATAATTACCTTCTCTATTACTTTATAAGAAGCTATCTTCACATGTAAGAATAGATATGTAAGAAGCTCACTAATCAACTTTTCTTATTAGCAGTTTCTGTTTCTTTCCTATAAGTATATTGTTTCTTCACATACTTTATACTTTTCTGATAAACCAATAGATATGTAAGAAGCTCACTGAAGGAGGTTTTTTTTATAAGAAGCTATCTTCACATACTGTTTCTATAAGAAGTGAGCTATCTTCACAAGAAGTGAGCTATTATAAGAAAGCTTCTTATAAGAAAGCTATCTTCATTACTTCTTCACAGACTTATAGGAAAGCTATCTTCACATACTGTTTCTTCACATAATAGACTTTTAGTAATAGACTGATTTCATTACTTTTCTTATAAGAAGCTATCTTCACCTACTATTTCTTCACATACTTTTTAGGATAGCAAACTGTTTTCCCTTATAATTAAAACTGATTTTAAGGAACTTAAGAGTAATAGTAACTAACTAATATGACTCAATGTTTGAATCAAAACAATACTGAACCCTGTAAGTGTAATGTTTTTCGATCCTCATCATAAAGAACTTTTAAATTTTTTTTATCGCCGTAACATATAGTAACAAACATATCTAACTGATTTAGGGAAAATGGAGACTAATAATCCAACCTTTTAGCGGTCTTCTTACAATAGTCCCACCTTTTCGTTATTCAAGAATAATCCAACCTTTGCACCCCATCTTCATTCGTTGGTCTCTGACCGGTTAATGACATGTTATTCCAAGTTATTTTCTTATCTTTGCAAAATATTATATTTGTGAAAGGTGAGATTTATGGTATAATGGTTTGCAAAGATAAGAAAATAACTTGGAATAGCAGGTTATCAACCGACCAGGGACCAGTGAATGAATATGAAGTGCAAAGGTTGGATTATTCATGAATAACGAAAATGTGGGACTATTGTAAGAAGATCGCTAAAAGGTTAGATTATTAGTTTCCATTTTCCCACTGATTTACTAACTTTCAACTTTTAACTAAATTTTGGAACAATACTAAACCCTCTGACTTTTATAGAAAAACAATACAGAACCCTCTAACTTCTAAATTTTATAAAATAAGTCTGAACCCTCTAGCTTTTAACTTTTAAAAGTAACATCAATACTATTTACGAACTGGTTTTTTATACAGATAGTAACAAACCTATATAACTGTTTTATTCCTTCAATGCAATGTATATATATTTATTCCTTTGATGTAGTCATGGGTTCAACAATGCCTAGGGAAACATACTCTCTGATTCCTAACTACCAACAACAACCTCAATCACAAGCAACGTCTCTGTTACAACCATTGTCCTCTCAAGGCACAAAGCTGAAAGTTAGGAAACCAAATGTTAGGACTATGGTTAATTTGGAGAAGGCGAATTGGGATGCAATTGCAACCGAGGAATTTATTAGGGTATGTGTTGGAGAGCTAGATGCAGAAAATAGGCACGGTACACATTTTAACAGAACCGGTTGGGATAATGTAGGGAAAAAAAATTACGAAGCCACTGGGAGGTCCTATAGTAGAGGGCAATTAAAAAATCATTGGGATTCTTTAAAAAAGAACCGGGTCAATGGATGACACTACTCAAAGGGGAGATGGGGTTACGTTGGGATCATGTTAAAGGAACTGTTGATGCTGATGATGGATGGTGGATCCGAAAAACTCAGGTATTTATTTTAATATTTTTATATTATGAATCCATTAATTTTTTGTTTTCTTTTGTATATACATCGTCCAGATTCTCTAAAACAATAAATCTATATTGCAGAGTCATCCCGAGTTGTCAAAGTTCAGATTACGAGGACCCCTTTTGGTGCAACAACAAGAGATTTTATTTGGAGATGTGGTGGCAATAGGAGGAGATGCATGGACTCCTAGTTCTGGTATTTTACCGCCACACTTGCACGGTGAGGAAGAAGATTCTTTTGAATCGAACCAGGAGACCTTTCAGGAAGCCGACGATGATATTACTGTTCAAGGGAACAATACCGAACCATGTGGTTCACACAAGCGTGGTAATATGAGATGCTCTCTCAAAAAGATTTTCACTGGCAAGTTGCCTCCACTAATTACCGGCAAGAAGCATAAAAAGTTAACATCGGCAGAGAATATTGCTAGATGCCTTGAGGATATGGTTGGTACTATGAAAAGTGAGAGCTCCTCATCTGAACCTCGTCGGTTTTCCATAGAGGAATGCATGAAATGTTGGACCGTATGAACGAAATTGAATCTGGGGGGAAGCTATGAGGCGAATGTGAGAGAGCTTTGGATGAATATTAAGGAAGATGTTTTTCGACAAAAATGGCTAGAAGAACAATTCGACAATTCTCTTCAGAAAAGAAGCTCCTCCATGACCTCAGCGCATGTTGATTCGGTTCATGCCGATAATGCATCTTGTGGCTGATTTTCACTTGTTTTTAGTTTGATGTTTGTTGAACTTTGCATTTGGCGTTTAATAGACTCTCTGCGTGTTGTTTAATTTGGTTTATTGAACTTTTTAAGTTTGAACTTCTCATCTTGAAGGCGATTATCACTCTTTGGAAGTTTTAGGACAAACTAGTTATGGATCATTTGCACTCTCTTTGTTTATGATATGAACTATATGCTTTATGTTGTGTAATATGATTGAGTCCTAAATTATCATGTTTATTTATACAGAATGTCAGATATATCATCAGATATCAATTTGGATTCTCTTTCCAAATCATCCAGTGAAGAAGATATAGAAAATGCTTTGGATGAATCGGAAAGTGAAGGTAATAGTTCTATATCAATTGCGAAGAGGAAAAAAAATTACATAGGTGCTATTGCAATAGGAGCTTCTATATATTACAACAAGTATCTACAAAAGACGCCTTGTTATGATAGACGATATAGTGGATTTGCTGCATTAATGGACATACTAAATGGACATCCAAATCGGTGTCATAACCATTTTCACATGCATAAAGAGGTGTTCTTTGAATTGTGTGCACTATTAGTCAATAATTATGGATTAAAGAGCACAAGAGGTGTCCCCGTTGAGGAAGAAGTAGCCACTTTTATGATGGTTGTTGGAGTTGGTGAAGGAAACCGACAACTTCAAGAGATGTTCCAACGATCCAGTTTTACCATTAGCCGATCATTTCACAATGTACTAAAGGCCACCACCAAGATGTCAATTGATTGGGTTAGGCCATTTTCTGATAACCTTGCTCCAAATCCATATATTCAAGGTCATCCAAGATATTGGCCTCACTTTAAGGTAAATTATACATAAAAAATTAACACAATGAGCAACCGCATGAATTATTGTTGAATATTTAATGGTGCGCAGGACTGCATTGGCGCTATAGATGGTACTCACGTTGAAGCAAGAATTAAAGTTGACCAACAAATTCCATTTATTGGTAGGAAAGGCTACCCAACACAAAATGTGATGGTGACGTGTGACTTTGATATGTGCTTCACTTTTGTTTTACCCGGATGGGAAGGAAGCGCGCATGACACTTTTGTGCTTACGTCAAGATTCACACCAGGCCAACACATCAAAGCATGCACCAAGTGGAACCTACTCCTAAATGAAATGCTTTTTCTTTTCACTTTCTCCAAAGTGAATGGTTTCCCAAATTCTTTTATAAGCATTGAAACAATCTCTGTCAAAACATCCGTCCTAAAAGTGCTACCATCAAACCACTTTTGTTCTTCTTCAAAACCATCATTTGATCAAGTAGAAACTTCTCCTCGCTAGTGGTCCACGAGTACATCTCAAACATTTCATCGACTTTGAGAGCACCCATCTTTGCCATTTTTGATACCTAATGAACAAGCATAATTTATGTACAATTTGAGATTTGTACATACAGAGAAAGCCAATAAGATTTTGTGATATAAACCTTTTTGGGTTACAGCAGTTAATGATTTGTACTACTCTTTACAAACCTTTACAGAGATTTGTACTACTCTTTACAAACCTTTTTGAAAAAATGCATAATGTGAATTTGTCAAGCAGTTAATTGATTTGGGTTACATCAGTTAATGAGTTGGGTTTCTTGATGTGATATAATGTGAGTTGGGTTAATATGATGTGCAACCCCCTGTGGTACTTGATCAAACCGCACTAAAAAGTGAAGCAGATCTATATGCTAATTCAACTCGAGGTCTAACCCATTGTTTTTTCATTAATTTTCCGATGGGGACTCTTACCCCCCCTGTGGACAACCAGAGCATTTTGAACCTAACCGGTTGGCCACTTGCATATTGAAACTAAAACTTGAAATAAAGCAGCTACACTTACAAGTTTGGGTGGAACAAAGGTATTAAATCTAATACAGTAGCTAGTTCAATCAAGGTATTATTAACTCATTATACTATCACTAATTCTATGATGTAGGATTCTAAGATAAACTGTAAATCTGGACACCACATTCGATCACTCATTCATGGTTTTTTTTTTTGTTTAAATTAAAATTGCAAAGAAGCAATACGCGTGAAATGAAATCAACTACCAGATTACACCCCATATATTAACATGTTGCAACTCAAAGTCAACTCATCTACATACAAGTTCTTCCAGGGTGCAGATTGCTAAGGGTACAAGGAAGGATACAAGAAGGTAACAGAAAACCCAAATTATTTGTTGTAACTGAAAGGCTGTGCTCATTGCTTCCAGCGATAAAAGTTGATTAACCCAAATCATTATGAACTGAGCACATCATATTAACCCAATAAGAAGGTAACTGAGGGATTCACGTACAAAAATAGAGCTGTAGATATAATAGAAAGAGCTCTGGAGATATTATATTCTTACCTGAATCGAAAAAACTGAATGAAGGAGCTCTGGAGGAGGAGAACCGTGCGTTAGGTTATCGGGAGGGAGTATTTGATCGAGAGAGAGGAAGGTGAGCTGATATATACAGGGAAGGAATATTTTTGTACATTCAAAAAAATATAATCTCACAATCACTTTTTTACCTAACACTCCAACTTTAACCTTTTCATTTTAATCACTTCTATTCTCAAACACTCCCAACTTTTATCATTAATCACTTTTAACAATAGCTTTTCAAAATCACTTTTTTGTTGTAGGGAGAATTGTTCGTAGAGTTTCATTACCGAATGCCCCTATAAATAAGGATAGAGTAGGGTTTACAAGTACGGGCCAATAGGTCCACATTACATAGTTTACATAGAAATGACCCTAATACATATTCTATATAAACGATAGCACACTACATAGAATTTCCTTCAACACTCCCCCTTGTGCTGAGTTGAATAGAATTTGGTATCTGTCTTGTTGTCTCGTCAAAACCTCTGTTAAGTAACAAAAACCCTATGGGAAAAAAGAGTATAGCATCACGATAGACTTCTTCCATTAAGTCTGTCTTTATTTGATCCTTGCTATGATCAATAAAGCGTATATGTATTGTTACCTCATCAAAAACCTTACCAAGTAACAAAACCCGATGGGAAAAATAAAACTTGGTTAAAGGAAAAGAGTGTAACGTAATGTAGATGGGGAACTCCCCCTCTAGTCTACACATATCCTTAATAGTTACATTAATCAAGGATGTTTGGAAAGTTCATGAATTCCAATACTTGTCACATTACTTACCTTAGCGAAGGCACACAAATAGAGGAATATAATTCCTTTAATTCTCCCCCTGTGTGCCGAGTGTAAGGTGATTAATGTTAAAATTATTAACTTGTTAAAATTATTAACTTGTTAAACCTGTTGCCAATGAACAAAACCCAGTGGGAAAAATAAACATCGGTCAAAGGAAAAATATGATGCACTAATAAGCACGCGTCAATTACTTTTGACTGCGATATATTAATTATGTTCTTCCTTCAACATAGTTTTACCTTTGCAAAATTAAAGTGTGGGATGGTGCATATTATGTTGGCTCAAAAAAACCTTACCAAGTATCAAAACCCAATGGGAAAAAATAGACCTTGGTTAAAAAGGAAAAAGAGTACAACACACCAATATAATATAATTGATGATAAATAAGTGTGTAAATACTCCCCCTGAATGCAACACATCAATAAGAATCTAACATTTACTTGATATATACTTTTATCAAGGTATTTCGTATATAACATCATGGTTTCTTTCATGATAAATATATACTCATTAATAAAATATCGATATAGTAAAGGGATACATATCATCGGTAAAACTCAAATCACGTTATTTTGTGTTAGAGTAATACTTTTGATGTTTTCAATTCCTTTAGGAATATTGTTATCATCAATCATTTAATTCAATTTATAAGGGATGAATAACGATTACTCCAATGGTTTCATATAGATATCAAAGTACACTCTTGATACCATTTCAATGACGATATACGATGTGTTGGTCCTGAGCTATTTTTAGCTAACACGTTATTGAGAATGTAATATTTGGTCGAATGTGTTGGTCAAAGTACAATCATGCGCATATTGCACTTACATAGGGAATTTCTCCTCCCAATAACTTTTTAGTAATGGAACTTTTCTAGTATCCATATTTCGACCAATCATGGGAGTGCTAACAGTTTACATTTATCCATATCAATTTTGCCTGAGAACCCTTTTGGATATATGCAACTGATGAATTAGTATTCAACCAACTCGGTGTTTAATTTCAAAACAGAACCAAGTTTCCCAATATCCTTTATCTCAATTATGATTTTCAAGTATCTAACATGTCTCATGTTCCATTATGAGTACATATTATGTCTATATCATGGAGATACAGTGATATTTGGAAACAAAACTTATTTCCATTATAAATGTGCTAGGCATAATATATTCATTTTGCATCCTTTTTCAGTCAAGTGGTCACTTAGACGGGTATGTCACTCCCGTCTGGATTGATTTAATCCAAATGTGAACGTATATAATGTTATTAAAAACCACTTGATAAAAACATAAGTGCTTCATAAAAACATAACTGCTCTTAAGTAAGATTGAGACATTTATTTGGTGACCCCAATCTTTAGCTGCGTCTCCATTACTTTGGAGGTTACTTAAAGATTAAGTAGTTGAACATTTTTGTGTTCAAAATAGAGAAGTGTATGTAACTTTTCATATTTGAATCCAGGGCATAATGAGAATAATTAGGACCTCATTATCTCAATACGCTTTCTAACAAAGAATAATTTATGTCCTACAGGCTTTACACTTGGTTGATTAGCACTATCACACCAAATACCTGTCTCTTTGTCAAATATCAAATTTATACCTGGATTACTTGTACGCTTTTAGGCCAAAATTCTCATTGCTTTCATGTTGCAATAGAGTATGGTTCGATATCATCGTGCTCTATATTCGTTTGAGCAACCGTAAATATATCGTCAGTATAAGTGTAAGGTCTATCATTCGACTCATACACACTCTCATTAACATGGATATTTTAATTCTCTGGAATCATTTAAACTTCGGGGCGTCCCCCATTATTGATTCATGGACATATTTAGTCAGAGATAATCTCGTGAGAGGAATTCATGTGATGACGAATATATTGGTTTGTGCCTTATCTACCCTCTACTACTTGGGGTGGATAATTAATCGAACCATGTGACTTCCCTCTATTCCTTTAGAGAGCCACGGCGTCAAACACAACCCCACTGCTTGTGATTGCAATGCTTGTTCCTTTAGAATTGTTTCTTTTAATTTGAACTTCAAGCCTTAAAGATATAATTGCAGCTAGTGTATACAATTTGATTACTTAAATCATTTATGATAATTGATAAACACGTGTTACATTTTGAAGTCTAAGATTTATCAGTGAGACAGAGTAGTCATATACATCTAATGATTAGCCATTCAATTAGAGAATTCTTTCTCTAATCTCCCCCTGATGACAGGAAAATCAATTGTCTCGTCAAGGTGGTATTCCGCAGAGCGGTGTACACATTATCTATTAAGGCTTGTAGCGGATTATTATTGGAGGTTCATATCCATCATAAATATCATTTGTCTTTTAAAACCGGTTATAGTGCGCTGTGGGAGGCGCAATAGGCACAACATTTAACAACCACATATGCATAAGTAGAACATCTCAGGCTAAGATCTAGTCGCCAACTGGTATACACAAAAGTGGTTGTCTACTATCGGTCTTAAAAAAACAAACGTGTAAGAGTGCTTGCAATATTGCATAATCCCATGGAAATAATTATATATACGTGTGCGCATAGTAGATATAATATTCACCATCTATATTCTTTTAGATGTGAGCTTTAGTGAGACTTTATTTTTACACGGGATGTGAGATGATTTTCATTGATCTCGATAAATATGCAATACTCATCAAATACTTTTGATGAGAACTGTCTAGCAATAACAAGTCATACAAACTTGATTGGTCGGGTGGTGAGCCCTTAAATGAGTAAAGTTTGCTAGAAGTGGTAAAATACCGGTAAATACCGGGTCGATCCACAAGGAAATGGTTGATATTATAAAGTCGAGTATTGAATGCAAAGGAATATAAATGGTATATTTTTTTTAGGAACTTTGTTCTTTGATGTTGATTTAAACAAGAATGAGAATTACTAAGGCAATCGGGATTCACCTAAATGCTTTAATAGTTATTTAATAATAGTTCTTCTCCAATAATTATGAATACGATGTCGCTAATATATTCTCAACTCCGGTTAAGGCAGCGAGAGCGTGGTTTTCGTTACGTGTAAGTCCCGTTACGGCTCACATTCATCTACCGAAAACCCCGTTGAATATCAAGACATCACACCCGTATCATATAAGACCGGATATATTTCTATTCTCGGTGCTATATATGTTTATCCTTTAGTGTTCATAGTTTAGACTTCAACGTTAATTGCAAGCATAAATTAAATTTAACATACTTCTATGTTGTACACCATAGTCATAAACAATCAAAATATAAAGGATAAATCACAATTTATTGGTTTAGAACTTTTATCAAACACCTAATATGCATAGAGGTTCATCCCTAGCCTTAGCTAAGAAATTAGCCTCTAATGCTCATATTAATCAACAAACAATATTGAAATGTAATGGAACATGAAATTACAAAGGAAATAATACCTAAACACCAATGATTTCGGAGGTTGAAGTTTCCTCCTCAAGAACTTGAAGAAAATACCAAGAACAAAAATATAAAGCTATGATTTAATCTATGGAATGGAATGTCATTGCTTGATGAATTGAGGGCTTTATATAGGCTAAATAATGGCATCTTTTAGTCTATTCGAGCCAAAACTTGAATGACGTGATTTTATTCATCCAATCAAAAGTTATGGCTAAAACACTGAGAGGTATGCATCCTGAAATCCCACCAGCAACATCTGACTTTGTTGGTTGATTGAGTCTTGTTCCTTTCATATTTTGGTCATGACGTCTTCATAACATTTGTACCTTATTGAGTTAACATTCACATGAAATTCGAATCGAGTGATTTCGAGTTCTCTACAATACGTTATACTCAAATTATGGGTAGAACGTCATCCTCTTGGTCTAAAAAAACGTTCATCACAATGTTTTATGTCTTAGCTCTCATTCTGAAGGTATTTGTCCGATTTCTCTTCTTTTCTTCAACAAATACTTATAAATACTTATGTTAAACACAAGTAAATATAAGGTCTATCAAATCCCCCCACACTTGAGCGTTGCTTGTCCTCAAGCAATTTCTTCAACTTTGGATGTCTTGGTTAGTTTCAACAAAAATATATGAACAAAAATAATTTTAATTTTAAGAGAGGTAAAAACTCATGTAAATTCTTTTATCTTTCTCGGTCCAAAACAAAATTTCTATTAGACACACAAAACTATCATTAGATTTAGAAAAATTACTTATACCCTTGAGAGTAGATGAGTGGACTGTGACTAGGACTTTTTGGGTGTGTAGGATGGCTTTTTTGTGTATTTGACTTTTGAGTATAGAAATGGATCGGTTGAAATTCTTGGAAGAGACCATGAGTTTTTTTTCATCTGAATGGACTCTCAACAAGTATTTACTCAAAGTCATTTTGATGATCCCAATTTATTTGATGAGTTGTGGGGTGGCTTGTTTTCCAAAATGGTTCTTGAATATTTGAGATGTTTTTAAACCATTTTTTTGGAAGTGAAAGAAGGTGGTGTTCCTAGTCACAAGTTTTTTTTGGGTGGTTTTCAAGAGTAAAGAGTAGTGTAATAAATCTAAAAAAATGATAGTTTATGTGAATAATCAAAACTTTCTCAACCAAATACCCATTAAAAAGAGAATTATCACAAGTTTTACCTTCCTAAAAAATTATTTTGCACACAAAATTTGTTTAACTAACCATGAGATTCACCCCCCACACTTGAGATACATTGTCCTCAATGTACATTTTTGGATACAATGGAGGACGAAAACTTCAATAGCAGAATGGACCGTCTTGTGAGAGTAGGAAATGCATGACACCTGAGTTTAGATGATTTTTTTTGTGCTTTTTTTGTTTTTGTTTTTTGTTTTTTTTGTGTTTTTTTTTTGTTTTTTTGTTGGGTTGCCTCCCAATTAGCGCTTAGTTTAACGTCATAGGCCGGACGAACGTACCTCTTTTGTGCAGCTGAATTCTCGCAGGTGTTTAGCTAGTAGGACCTCTCTTTTAAAATCTTGCGGGGGAGGAGAGGATGCGAAGCTATTATTTTCAATATTGAGAAGAGTATCACCCGGGTAAAAAATGTACCTTTTTGGCGTGTCCCGATTATGTCCTCCTTTCTTGTTGACGTTTACTTCTTGAATGGAAAAGAGGTCTCCTCTACCATTTGGAGGCATGAGAACATTAGCTTCCGACTTCAAGAAATTTTCTAAAGTGGGTTGTACTCTCCACACATGAAATATGTCATTTTTATCTCCCACAAATAGATTTCTAGTCCCATCGTGTACATCTGAGGTCTTCTTGCTCTCCGGAACTTTGGGAACCTCCTTTCCTCTTTTGCTTTCCGTTGTGATGACCATGGTACTTCCTGCTATAGTAACTTGTTGAGCAAGTTGGTCAATCTGCAATTGTAGAGTGTGGAAGGAGCTTTTGGTATCTCGCTCGAGGTTGTCCATCCTTTGATTAAGAATTGTGTTTTGATTTTCAATTCGGGTGTCAAGTTTGGTAAATTGAGAATGGAGATTCTCAACGGATGCCTCCATTCTACTATAATGTTTTTCATTTTCAGCTTGAATACTTGTGGTAAGAAACGTCATCATCTCTTCCATGGTGGACTGAAAGTTTGAAGAACTCCCTTGCGGTTTCCAATTGTTGTCTTGGTTCCCCTTTTATTGATTAGAAGAGTTGTAGTAGTTATTACCTTCATGATTCTCCCACTCGTCATAGGAGTTCATGTAATTGATATCCTCGGGTTGAATAGCATACTCTCGTGTAGGAAGAATGTTTCCTAAGGCAGTTTGTAGGCTTTCTTTCAGTGTTCGTTCAAACCCCAAGAATCTTCTATCAAGCACATCACTGATAGATATTTCCTTCACTCCAGAGAACTTTATGTCTCTAGCTTGAAAATGTGGATTATAGGCAACAACGGGCATCTTGATCTCATTTAGTGAAGGATTTTTTTTCCTTTTTTTTTGTTTGTGTTTGCACACTCTTTCAACTTCGGGACCAAAGTTTTACTTAGACCCTTGAACTTTTATGAGTATGACCACACATTTTTGTTTTTTAAAAAAAAAAAAAAACTAACACTACTACATGAAAAAGTGAGAAAAAAATTGAGGTTTGTGAACTTTATAAAACAAGACCATTTCCCCGGCAACGACGCCAAAAACTTGATCGGTTTGAACTTGCAAGTATACAAGTGCCGATATAGTAATAAAATACCGGTAAATACCGGGTCGATCCACAAGGAAATGGTTGATATTATAAAGTCGAGTATTGAATGCAAAGGAATATAAATGGTATATTTTTTTAGGAACTTTGTTCTTTGATGTTGATTTAAACAAGAATGAGAATTACTAAGGAAATCGGGATTCACCTAAATGCTTTAATAGTTATTTAATAATAGTTCTTCTCCAATAATTATGAATACGATGTCGCTAATATATTCTGAACTCCGGTCAAGGCAGTGAGAGCGTGGTTTTCGTTACGTGTAAGTCCCGTTACAACTCACATTCATCTATCGAAAACCCCGTTGAATATCAAGACATCACACCCGTATCATATAAGACCAGATATATTTCTATTCTCGGTGCTATATATGTTTATCCTTTAGTGTTCATAGTTTAGACTTCAACGTTAATTGCAAGCATAAACTAAATTTAACATACTTCTATGTTGTACACCATAGTCATAAACAATCAAAATATAAAGGATAAATCACAATTTATTGGTTTAGAACTTTTATCAAACACCTAATATGCATAGAGGTTCATCCCTAGCCTTAGCTAAGAAATTAGCCTCTAATGCTCATATTAATCAACAAACAATATTGAAATGTAATGGAACATGCAATTACAAAGGAAATAATAACTAAACACCAATTATTTCGGAGGTTGAAGTTTCCTCCTCAAGAACAAAAATATAAAAGCTATGATTTAATCTATGGAATGGAATGGAATGTCATTGCTTGATGAATTGAGGGCTTTATATAGGCTAAATAATGGCATCTTTTAGTCTATTTGAGCCCAACAATCAGGTATGGAGCAATATTTGATCAAGAGATGAGGAAGGTGAAGTTTTCCCATAAAAAATCCTCTTGCACGTTGCTGTGTTTTAGCAGAAAATCGTCCCAACCGGACCCGGTCAGTCTAGAACCGGCCCCGGTCGCAAACAGGCTCGTTTAGTGCGAAAAAGCCTTCCAACCGGCACCGGTTCTAGGCTGACCGGCGCCGGTTGCAGCGCCCCAAAATTGTACTTCGTCTTTCTTCCTCCGAAATGGATCAAAACGTGTTGGTTTTTGTACCGGGATTTTGGGAATGTTCCGCTATGAATTTGGACATGATTCCTTCACCAAAGTTGTAGATAATGAAGTCTTCTATCCACCAAAACTTGAATGACGTGATTTTATTCATTCAATCAAAAGTTATGGCTAAAACAATGAGAGGTATGCATCCTGAAATCCCACCAGCAACATCTGACTTTGTTGGTTGATTGAGTCTTGTTCCTTTCATATTTTGGCCATGATGTCTTCATAACATTTGTACCTTATTGAGTTAGCATTCACATGAAATTCGAATCGAGTGATTTCGAGTTCTCTACAATACGTTATACTCAAATTATGGGCAGAACGTCATCCTATTGGTCTAAAAAAACGTTCATCACAATGTTTTATGTCTTAGCTCTGATTCTGAAGGTATTTGTCCGATTTCTCTTCTTTTCTTCAACAAATACTTATAAATATTTATGTTAAACACAAGTAAATATAAGGTCTATCAAGACCGCTCACAAGGATTAGACTCATGACATGATTCCGTCTATATAAACTCATGGTGGTGAACATTTTTAAAACATAGTAAACTTTGGAGACTTCTAGATGCATTTAGAGGTCAAAGAGAATACAACTCTATTCATTTAGAAATTCAATATATAGGCAATTCATTGCCCTTAATTGATCATAAATGAAAATAAGGAATTTCTTTAATAAATAAATATTTGTTCCTTAATTGATTGTGTATATATCATCACAACGGGTAAAAAACACTTATTTGTTATAAGTTTTAATAATTTGCAATTGTCGCTCGTATACTTCAGAGTGCTATGATGTCAAGCAAAATGAGGTACATATCATTCTACTATTTTATGGATATATTCCTTTGTATCCCTTTTTTTATTTGTATTTACTATTTTTGTTATGAACAAAATTCATAGATATGTATTCAACGAATCCAAATGGATAAATATCTCAAATATAATTTGAGATAAAATCATGAGATGACAAATTAATTTAAAATCTTCACGAATATAATTTATACCAAACTTTAAGACTTAAATAAAAGTCTAATTTGAAGTAATAATGTCCATATTAATAAAGCTCATGAAAGAGTTAAAAAATGGATAAATTCAACAATTAGAGAAGGTTCTTATTCTCAACATAATGGACATTCATAAAACTAAATTTATAGTTAGTAGTCTCTTATGTGGTGGATCTCTTGTTCTTTAGAGATTCTATGAAGAGTAATACTAAAAGTGTATTTTTCAATTAAATCATGATTAAATTATCACATTAGATCCACTTATATCTTCAAGGATTTATTTCAAAACATTTATTTTCGTTAAACATAATAACAATAAATCTCATTCACAAGTATAAGCTCAAAGCTTTTGAGTGATACTTATTCGATATATACTTATTAATTAGTATACGTCTAGAGAAGTATATATAAAAAATGATAATATATTTCTATGAAATAAGTTTTTGTGATTTACTTTTCACAAAATGTGCCAGAGTATTATTTGGTAACAAAAGTAGTTTCTAAGATAAGGAGTGAAGGTGCTTGAGTTCATTTGAGTCCAAAATGTCAAGTTTCGATCAAATTGATCATATCAATCATCTTCTGTTTTATTTGAAATATATACATTATTGCATAGGACGATGCGTACATATAAAATAATTGCATACGCATACATGGTAACACCAATTATTGCAATAATGGATGATACTTTGAAACATTTAAAACAACTCGTGGTGTACAAACCCCACCACATACAAATTTGTAAGAGAATTTGTTCAAAACAATAGCATTAAATGGGATGTCATACTTGTACTACTCTAGACATGAACATTAAATACCACTACGTACTTATTTGTCCTAACATTAACTATGATCAATTATGATCACTTGTACATCTCACCATAAATTATTGATGTATCAATCAAAATCAGGGAGTTCTAACTAGAATAAGAAATAATGATAATAATGCTGGTCATAGTCATAATAATAATAAAACTGCTATACGAGAGAAATGAGATTGCCATGTTTATAATTTATTTTATTTTATTAAACAACATTTATGATGAAAAACTTAGTGACACCAACGCCTTTAAAAAAAAACGTATGTGCTTAGAAGAATATACACTTGTTAAATCAATGATACGTTTGTGGTTAAAAAAAACCCAACGCTTTTAGTATATTACTTAAAACTGCAGTGGAATATAGTCAATATACCATTATTATAGTGACTTATAGTCCGTATTAAACGTACTCCCAACATAGACAATTCATCGTCTCGTAAAATAGAGTATAAATTGTAATTCCAACAGTTAATAATTCATCAGTACTCAAGCCCTCTAAGTACGTAAAAAAAACAAATATTATGATGTTCACAGAATTAAAGTGCATTTGTGAGAGCGTTGAAACACAATTGTATGAAAAATATTTATACAAGGCATGAATTTCCATTATCACGCGCTTGTAAGAAAATAGCAGGAAGTATATAGTAATACATACGACATATGTATGAAGAATACATAGAGTAACTATAATATCGAGTGTCTAATAGATAATAATAGCATAAATCATCTTCGGAGAATGAAGTATTCCATAAAGTTTTTTTCCATTTTTGAGATCTAGCAGAAACATAAAAATTTCTCTC